GACTTTAATGACCTCAATTTCTATATTGAATAGCCTATGTGTTTAAGTTGCTTAACCTGATGATTTCTCACATCTGCCTAGGACCTCAGACCTTGCTCTAATGTTCTGTTGTAATCTTCATGCTGCATTTTGAGTTCTGTTTCACTTAATGTTCTGTTATAACCTTCATGCTCATCATACTGTATTTTGAATTCTGTTCCACTTAATGCTCTATTATAAACTGTATAATTCATCATGTTATGTTCTCTTGAGTTCTGTATTTAGGTTCTGCTATACTCATCATGTTTAACATGCAGCACCCTTCTAAGTTCAACTATCCTACCTAGGCTTTACTGTTCATTATGTTCTATCATGCTATACTTAGGGTTGTTATTGTAGTCTCCATGTTTAACATGCCATGTTCTCTTAGGTTCTGTCATTATAAACTTAGGATGTTGTTAGATGACTTTAGCTAGGGCATATACGAAATACATAGGATAACCCCGCCCCACTAGGTTAAGGCTTATGAAAACCTGAGTGTTCAAAATGCTTTTATAAATATTTATTAGTCCTTAAGTGTCCTTTGAATCCTCATTATGAATGCTTTACATCCATGTCTAACTGTTAGCTTGTAAACAGTCCTACTAGGATGGATTTTCCTTTGAATATTAGTAGTATTTTTTCATGATCAGTCTATCTCCTGTGAGTCAGACTATAGTTGTGTCCTGTTGATTATTTATGTAATCTTAATATGAATCCATCATGTTTATCTATTCAACCAAGCTTGTGTAGCTGATTTGAGTATGTTAAGTGTGATGTCTCCCCTATCCTTAACCTTTAATGATACTGACAACCTATTTCTTCAATGTTTAGGACTCATCTTGTCTTGTGAGGTCATAGTCTTGATTGAAATCTTTGTATGTGTAGGAGTTTGGTATGAACTTTTGTTTATCCTTCATGACTTTATATTTTGAACACTGTTTTGAACTTATACTCAGTCTTTTCTTTTCTTTATTATTTTAGATTGAATCTGGTGTAAGGGAAACCTTCTACTGTTATTGGTTGAGTGCAATAACCTGTTTGTATCATTGTTTGAATCTGTATTAAGGATCTCAATGGATTTGAGTGATGTCATTAACTTAGGTATATGCTCATCTATGACCAATGTTAAGGCGTTAGTATTTGTATCCTAAAGCTGTTACAATTCCAAACTATGTGCCTTATTTATATGTGAGATGTATGGTTCTTGTTGTATGATTTTAGCAATAATAGCATAAGTGTACCTTTTGTCATATATGCCTAGAAGTCTGGTTTTCTAAACATGTTCAAATATGTGCTTCACTCACTTAATGCTGAAATATAGGGATTGTTTCTATGTGTCTATTTATTTGTTATTATGCTAAGGAAAGTAGGCTTCTCTAGTAGGAAATGTTATAGTGGATGGTTTGCATTAAAAAGGACTCATTGGCATTCAAATCTATAGGGAAGAGTTAGTCGTTAGTGGTTAAAGGTATTTGGGAGTAGAGTTTAACTATAGGTTGGGCTGCTCTCCCTGGCACAAGCATTGCCCTGGGCCTTGAGACTCTTGAGAATTTTGAAGTGTCTGGATTCAAAGGGGGCATCGGTCTTGAGTAAAACTCTCTCCTTAGCCTTTAATTCATTGAAACTTATTACTCTCTTTGGGTTTGGTGTTTAATGGCAACGAAAGACATTCAATATGGATCATTCATTATACACAACCTCCATATTAGTATGATTCCCTTAGCATTTAGGTACTGTTAGTAACCTTTTCTTTTAATGTTTGCTTAGTATAATTCCCTTAGCATCTAAACACTGCCAGTGATTTCTTTTAGTCTTTGTTTGCGAATTTTACATATGGATATGTGTACAATAATGTTATTCTAATGACCTTCTCTTTTATTTTTTGGGCATATACAATGAGTTGGCCTATTGAATTCTTTAGGAACTCAGGCCCAAGTCCAGCTCTACTATGATCTAAGGGTCTGTCATCGCTCATCATTGTTACTGCTGGGCCTGCCTTTTGAGGCCCAAAGCTCCCAGAGTCACTTCTTTCCCTTCACCTCTTTACTTACTATTTCGTCATTCTTCAGTCGCACTATGTCATTGCTCATTGCTGTTTTTTTTTCTTCTTGTTGTTATATCTCATTGTGTATATGAAAAGTATATATTGGATTGAATGTTTATCCTTATCTTTTAATTCATAAAATAACTTAGGCAAGCCTTAAAGAACTTAGGATTAAAAAGAAGCCTTAGTTAGCCATTAATTCTATAACTACTAATCACGAGCTTGTCATAAGTTCATTATGCCTTGCTAACCTTCTCCTTAAAGATTTTTGAAGTCCAAAGCGTAACAAAGGTGGCAGCCCTCTTTTCAAAGAGAAAAACAGAATTGTCGCGATTTGAACTTACCAAAAAAAGAATCAACTATTTCGAAGGATTAAGGTGTTGCTGCCCTAAAACAAAGGCTTTCAAGTAGTTTTCTACTTCAAAATCAAGGTATATCTTAGGATCATTTTCATAACACTTTTACCACATTAGGATGACATGAACCTCCATGATATAGGAAACAAAATGCTTTAAATTGGCTTCCATTTCACATGTATACAAACGTTTCCATCTTTCGTTTTTTTTTTTCAAAGCTTATATATACTAACACTAATTTCCTAAAGGCTTTTCTTTAAAGCCATATTCTTTAAACCATACTCTCCCCTTATAGATATTATGTCCTAATATATGGTAAGCTATACCCTTAGAACACTAGTTAAGGCATAGTACAAATAATTAATTCCAAATCTAGTCTAAGTCCTATGTAGCTACCTCAGGTAGATTTTAAGGGGTGCCTAACACCTTCCCCTTAGAAGAACAAGAACCCTTACCAATGATCTCACCGGTTAGTAGACCAATAAAAAATATAACCTTTAGCAATTAAATAGGTACCTTAGTATACCTTTAAATATTAGGTGGCGACTCTCTTTCATCAACAACAAAGAAACCACAAGTTGAATCTTGTCTTGACTAGTGCAAAATAGGGTGCAACATATAGTATGGGCTATAACAATCTCTTCTTTCTTCTCATTCATAGATCACTAGTTCTCTCATTTTTTAAAATTAAATTCACCAACTCCTTTTGCTCAGTGGCCTTAGCTTGTCTAGCAAAGGCTGAATTGCTGTTTGTAGAGGCCAAAATAAAATAAGACTAAGAAAATTACAATTTTTGAAAGAGAGAAAAGGGAGATGGGGTTGTGGTGTTTGAGGATTGATAGCTAGGTTGAAAGATGAAAAAGGTGAGTGATGGGAAATAGAATTGACTTTTCAAAGTGGAAAGAGAAATTAAATCTTGGGGTCGCGATCTTGGGTAGCGGATGTAAATATCCTTTAAAAGGCGGTAGCTAGTATGATTAAAATCATACCAAATATAATATTCGAAAACGTATATTATTTTAGTAATTAATTCTTTAAAATGGATATATTCTTTAGGTCAAGTTCTACTTTGATCTGAAAAATTAATCAATAGGATTGAAGAAAGACTCCACTTCAACTCTATTTTATTTTCATTCATCAGTTACTAGTTCTCAGAATTTTTTGTTAAATTTACTAATTCGGTTTGGTCAGCAACATCTTCATAGAGAAACGAAGTTCACCTCTACTTGCCTAGCAACATTTGAATGGCTACCAATAGAGGAGAAATGAAATAAGGAATTAGGGTTTTGCGAAGAGAAGTGGAGAAGATAGGGTGGTGGCATGGTGAGGTGGATGCAAATTGCAGATACTCAATACTTTCGCTATAATAAATTTATATATATAAAAATATACTAAAATCATAATAGATAATATATATAAATTCATAGTTTTAAATATATAATGGTTTTAATAAGTTGATATATGTTGTTATGAAAATGATGCTGGATGCAATGTTCTAAAAAGGCAGGGAACAAAACAAAACAACCTGAATTTCCCAAAAACATTAGCAAACAAAACTGATCCAAGTAGTGAGACCCACTAGGTAGGAAGTTGGGCAAAGTTCACTTTTAGCCCGTGACCAAAACTATTTATATACAAAATATATAAAATTTGTATATTTTTTGTATATAACATAAATAAATAAATANATATATATATATATATTCCATATTTTTATATTTTCCGGCTATTATTTTGAGAGCAGCTATACACTATCATTTTTCATGAGAATTTGGCTCATAACTTTTCGAAAACATCCCAATCATCTCGGTTCCTCTTCGGTATTGGTACAGTTCAATGAATTTTTCGGTATGTTTTTAAAAATGTCATGCAAGAGTCACTAATTAAAGTTAGAATACGATAATGTGGACTTGCATAGGATTTTGGCAAAACTCTCTAGACATTTTTACTATTTTAAAAATGATGATCAAAAGAACATGAAAGATGTCCAGAATAGAGATTCATCCCACTATTCTATGGTAGCATAAAACAAATTAAGCAAATACAAGAGAAATATAAATCATACGAGTGGAAAGATACTAATGGAGCTGGGACTCAAGAATAGAACTTATTAAAAGATTAGTATCCAACAAGAAAAATCTAAATTATACGAGAGGAAAGATATCCAATACCTTGTGGCTTGCTACTGAAGATCGCTGGAATACCTAGTGGCTTGCTACTCAAGATGTTAGAACTAATTTAGTTTCGATATGAATAGTAGAATATGGTTGGAAGTTGGGACCTTGGATATTAATTATTTGATCACTTGTAGCCATTTCCATAACCCTAAGACCCAAGAAAAAGAATTTTTTTGTTAGTTTTAAACTTAGTATATAAAATATATTTTTCATATATACGGTACGCTTCATTTTTTTTGGGTTTATTTTTATAATATTAAAATCTAACCCTATTATACGGTACGATTATAAGTTCACGGTTCGATTCGATCGATGTAATTGGTTTTTAAAGATCCACTTTACCACCGTACTCATATTCCAGTTTGAAGAATATGATGGGCCTCCGGGTCATAAACAGCTTCAATTTTCCAACCCATTACCCACGTCCATGGCGCGATACGTAAAAGTTCGTTGACACGCGTTGGCTCCAATCGAAGTTAACCCGTGCCGGTTATATCCTCCATTTTTCATAAGAAAGCTTCCAGATTAAACAATTCATTAGGGCTCGTCTCGGAAAAACGATTCGATTCTCAGAGAACTCATTAATTAAATCCGCTATCAATTTTGGTATCAATGAGTTTCTGAGAGCTTAGCATTTCAAATTATCTACTGCAAGATCTCCCTCGCATTTCACATTTACCTACAATGGACGAGTCTTACTCCAATCTTCCTACCAGCCATTTGATCGGCTCTGTCCCGGTTCGTAATCTTCACTCATGACTCTTTTGCGCTTAATTTTTTCTTACTTTATGTATCGATTGCTCTAATGGAGACATTGCTTTTTTTAGCATATTGTGATTTTAGGTCTTGCTTGTTATAGGCTTGATCCGTTTTTGCTCTATTAGCTATTATGAAGAAGTGCAAAACCAAGGAGAAAAAAAAGCAAAACTAGAACTTTTCTAGCTCTTTTCTTTGTAACTAGCAAGTCAATTTGTTAAATTTAGTTGTAACAAAATGTCATTTAGTTTGTGCATGCTTTAGCCGATAAGTTTATTTTTGTTTGGTATATTTGCAATCCTTAGCTTTATGATTTAAAAAGCAGCTTCAACATTTACATCTGATTGGATGAAAATGAATTCCAACACATGAATTTTCTAGTTATAGAGATACGATAGTTGGGATTTGATTTACATCTAAATACGGGAGGGATTTGACTCCCTTCTCTAGTGGCGTTTCAAATCCTTAAATTCCTTGATTAAGGTTTGAGTTCCTACTGGTTCAACTATGTAGAAACATTATTTTTGTTTATGCAATCCCTGGATTAAAATATCATCCATGAGATACAGACTTAGTTCAAATCAGCTTAAAAAGGTAAAATGTAATCATTATCCACGTGTAGTTAGTTTGCAGCTGCTTAGATGTTGGAGTTTTAGCTGAATAGATTGCTTGCATTGTGCAGGCCGTTGTCATTGAAGAAAAGAGCACCACTAACCCTCAAGGTACTTCACTATTTGTTGCATGGAGAGATCTAGGCTTATAGATCCATATGTTGTGCTTTCGAGTGTCATATGAAAGGAACCAAAGTAGAGGCTGACATAATGTGATTTAAGTTGATTTAAAATTGTCAAATCCATATTTTCGTAGGTAATATCCAAACAACTGCAAAGGATTTAAGCTTATGAATTTGAAAGAATACGGTCAAATCCGTCCTTTTAATAGGACCCTTAATATTTTCTACTGTTCTATCAGAGAGCCAACTTTTGCTAATCTAATAAATATGCAGCTCCTGCAGCAAATTTGCAAATATTTCCTCCAAATAATGGTGCCAGTACAGGGAACGGTTATCAAACTCTCGGAGGAACTAGTGGTATGCCTGTTATTTATAGATTTACCCCCTTTCCATGCATAGTGGCACGGTTGATATTGAGTATTGAGAAATTAGTTGTTGATAAAAAAGGTATTGAGAAACTAATATGATTTGCATCTCATAATAGTAGGTTTGGATGAGTACATTAGTTGGTAAGTGAAATATATATACAAATTTTATGATAAGAGAGCATTTCCTTTCTTTAGTTTGAAGTTCAATTCCTTTTTGTTCACGTTATTGTTGAGGTATTGGAATGTTTATATTAGTATTTCTTTCTAAAGAATGTGATGCATTTTATGATCCTTTGCTAAAGAAAGTGCACATTAAGTAGGATTGAGGGACTATGATGAAGGTGATCTAAGAAGATGGTATCATTGCAATAATAGTCTCTAATCTACTAATAAACAAAAAAGGGTCTCTGATCATGATGCTCTTCTATGTACAACACCAAGCTTATATTTTATGTGTGGTAGTCATGCTTTAGGATAGAACTATACTATGGGCAACTATTTAAGGAAGGGCAGTGTAGCGTCTAAAGCACCTCTATTTGGTAGTAGAATAATCTCCAATTGATTTTTCTCCTTCATTCTGCATTTGTCTTCCTCCTCTTCTATTTATTTGATTGTCTCTCTTCGATTTTTTCCTCCCAACTGGTGTTCACTGGCCTTCACTTGGTAAATCTACCTTTTATCCTGATGACTGCTCCAGATAAGCTTGGAGAACTTCGTTTTTGATTGATATACATGGAACGTAATTTTGTTAAGATTCACATCCTTCTATTCCCAACCAATTCATGTCATTCTAGAAGTAATACACAATGCAGCTACCACTATCTTGAATTGTAACCACCTACCTCATGCAGAGGCGAATGGGCAGCAATCAGCAAACACCTGGAAAGGAGTATTTAGTGTCTCATCTTATACACAGTATTTCAATGTAGATGAAGATATTGTCATGAACAGATTGATGAGTTCTTTGAATCCTCTTAGTGGAGATTTCTTCAGCAAGATTGATGCCTACCCTGATCTGTAAGTCCTGCATTATCAATTATGAATGTAGGAGGAACAACAAGTTTTGTCAGTTGGAAATACATAGACAATGTAGCTAGGTTTGAGAAATGCTGAACATCTATTGGCTTCATCAGATCCTTTTCTTTGATGTGATATTGACAAACCAATACAATCTAAAAAGTGCTTATTTTGTATCATCATTTTTGTGTTCTCTTTTTATGCTTTTTATTTGTGCCGTGGTTAGTCACGGTGCATGCAGCTAGTTATTCCTGTTAAGAAACTGAAAGAGATATCCATAAAAAGAAGGTGTTTGTTTGGTAGTTTAGTTCAAGCTGGCTAGATTTTCCTTTTTTTCTCTTTGATCTGATAAATAAGTAAATTTTATTTCACTAAATCTGCGTAACCTATAATATGAAAAGTAAAGATTCACAGTTTTCGGGTTGTGCAATGAGCTAATAGAGCCTAATTCTTTCCTATCTCATAAACATCTTCCAGCTTGTATCAGGAGGCTAACAATCATGTACACTTACTTAAGTCTAGGATAGAAACCAGTTTTCCTTCAAAGCACCTTTGGTTTCTTTTTCTCCAAATGATCCACCAAATGGAAGGGGGATGGTCTCTCAGAGTTTTATTTTGTTCCTCCTCTCCTCTTCTTTTCCAACAAAGGGTTCGTCCTTTGACAATTATGGTTGTGACCCATCTGACTTCATAAATGCGTAGAAACATATTCCACAATTGTGGAGTTACTGGGAAGTGCAAAAGAAGGTGATTTTTATTTTCAACTGCCTTTTCACACAGGTGAAATCTACTTCACATACTTGTACCCGTTTTCTGCAGGTTATTCTGAGTTAAGATAGCATCATATATTGCTGACCAGCTAAAGCAAACTCTATCATAGGTGGTGTGCAGGTCCTCCATGTCATCTTCTGTGGCCATATAATTAGCTGGCAAGTAGGAAAATTCAAACATTTATAGGCTGAGCTCATGAGAACTTATCACTGTTATGCATTTCCTAATTTAATGCATCAGTATCACCTCACACTCCTTGAAACATTCCAGCAATTGTAACAGCTGCACTAATCTTCCCACTTCCCAATAGTTTCAACTTTCCACAATGTCGCTTCCCGTCCTTGATTTCTATATTGATCAATTTCAGCCAACTCTTTTGTGCAACCGTAAACAGGTTAGGAAACATCGCTTTCAAAGGGGTATGTCCCAACCAAGCATCACAGCAAAAAAGAATTTTCTTACTATCACCTACCTTGAGATGCAGCATACTTGTGAAATCCTCCCACTAGCTTCTGGAATATTTTCACAATCCACAACCATGAGATGTGAAAGCTGTATTAGTACACCAAAAATTTTATCTTCCGAATTTGACCTCTACAACTTTTCAACAATTAATTGCCCTTTTGGATATATATCCATAACCACTTGAATAATGGACTTTTGTTTTGCACATGTAAGTTCTTGATTCCAAGTCCGCATACTCTCTTGCTTATAGTAATGAACTCCTTTTCACAAGTTACAAAGGAGTTCAGCCCCTGCTCCCATGCCACAAAAAATCTCCTCTCAATTTGTCTAGCTTCAACTCCACCTTTTTCTGGCTTTGAAATAAAGTCGTTGTATATGTGCATCGAGCACAATGTTAGTAGACACCCCTTACCCCCCCAGAAGAAAGCTATTGTTTTTGTTTCAGCTGGAAAACTTGTACTCATTAATTTCCACCAGCCCTTGCCATATTGCTTCCGATTCGTATTTAGCATCTCGTGGGAGTCCCAACTAAGTGGTTAGCTAACTTCCCGTAGTTCACCTAAACGATCAGCTAACACTTGAATACTTTGAACATCGTAACCGAGAGATATGACATTTTTCATATGCCATATGTAAACTTGAGAGAGCTTTAAACACATATAGTATTACCCTCAAATATGTTATGTGATCTTTCTTTTAAAAAAATTCAATCTATCATCAACATAAATTTTTGTGGTATCTGCACGCCTTCCCAAATATTGAAACCCCTAATCCAGCTCATTTGCATGTCTTTTCGTAGCAATAAACTAAGACCCTTCAACCCTTTTTATAAAAAGTCGTGAAAATCATTTGCTTGTGATGGTCTAGTGGTAAGAGGGCAACGTGTGATGTGTGGGTTAGACGCACGTCACAGGTTCGAACCTGCCACGGACGAAATCCTGATATTAAGTGGAGAAGGGTAGAGGGGCAGGTCCATTGTCAAAGGAGTTCCAAAATGTACGTTGGCCATCAGGAATTCATCCCAAGAAAAGAAAAACATCTTTTTCTGGAGCCTTATCTCCTGCATACTTGTTGATTATCACATACTTTCTCCTCCTCAAAAGGGTATGTAACTGAATGAAGTCTTCTTCTACAATTTTTTTGGAGTTTACCAGGTTGAAAACTAGGCCTCCAATTCCCTTATTCTTTATGTAGAGACATGAATAACTGAATCACTTTATTGGTACCCTCTGTATCTTCTACTAGGTTATCATCTACCACCATATCTTCAATTAAATCTGTGTAGATTAGTCATTTTGTGGAAGAATTTTCTGATTTATCTCCTTGCTTCAGCTAAAGCACTCAACTTTTCCTCTATGAAATTTCCTCACATTTGGCAGTTTCCTCCAATTCCATCTCTAACTCTGTATTTGGCACCATTTCACTATCTGTCAACTCCCTATTTTCCAATATATGTCCAGATTCGGCATTATCTACAAATATCTGATTTCTTCTTTTCCAATCTACCAGAAGTGTTAATATTCCATTCTCTCATACTAATCTTCAATATTTCAATTTATTGGGTCAAATTATAATATGATCTATGTCTTTCAAAAGACCCACACCACTTTTTCAACAACTCCATAAATCCATTAACTTCTAACCATATGTTCTCGAATTTGAATTATGAAGTTTTTCTTTCCACTCCTTATAATGAGGATTGTGGTCTGAAGAGTCTTAGGCAAGGTCGGTTGCCTGATATAGATTAAACTTTTAATCCCACTCAGATGAGAAGATTAAACTTCTAATCTCACTCAAATGAGAAGAGGACTTTCCTCGAAGCTTCTTTCGAGCTGCCCCTCTAGCCCATGTGAAACTACTGATACACTATGGCCCATGGATGTTCAACTAAGTCCGTTTCCTCAACAAATTCAGATTTTTTTTCTTAGACTTGGAATAACGCCCCTGAAAAAGTTATTCTATGCCTCAAAAAGGTTGTTCGTTATTGGCTCTGTTTTTCACTAATTTCGTTTCCTCAGCAAATTCAGATTTTTTTCCTTAGACTTGGAATAACGCCTCTGAAAATGGTATTCTATGCTTTAAAAAGGTTGTCTCTTATTGACTCTGTTTTTCACCTGTGTAACTTTTTTCATTAAAGTCTCCATAGACCACCCATGGTCTAGAGTAGACCAAACTCCTCTAACAGCAGCAACTTCGGAGCACAGTTCACTCTTTCCTTTCTTGTGTTTGGTCCATAAAGTCCAGTGAAAATCCAATAAAGTTGTTTGAATTATTCTTTTAACGAATCAGAGACAGCGATTACCCGTTATTACATCATTGAAAGACTAATACCTCTTGTCTCATATCAGAATCATGCCGCCCCTTGTACCATTAGCCTTAAACATACTAAAATGCCATCCATCAGGCCAAGAACTGTGGAATAACTCCATACTATCTTCTTCAATCGTTACTTCTTGCAAACACTAAGAATCAACTTTAAGTTTGACAATTGAAGATCATGCCTTTAATAGACTGAGACATATGCTTTTCTCTTGAGAAATGAACCCCTTCTCCCCTCTGTCCAACTTTAAGGTGTATTTGGCTTCTTCTCACCTTTTCTGATCGATCTTATTCAGATTTAATCATTTCCTCTTTCATATGTCTTTATTCCTTTATCCTTTCACTACATCTTACATATTTCTTGTTTCTTTATATAGTCATTTGCTTTGGGTTTCTTAGTTATCAGGATGATCGCCGAGTATCTTAAGCCTAGTATATAGTGACGAGAAAGGTGATCATATTTGTGACTAGGAATTCCTTGCTGTTTCATCCAGTTCAGTAGAGATAGAAAGGAAAGCTTTCTTCATGGCCAGAGAAAAGATTATTGAAGTAAGAGAAACGAGAGATGGTCTATCAGACTGGTTCAAGGCCATTAAAAGAAATAAGTGATACTCCAATAGGATTCATGTGGATAGGAAGAACTTGATAGAGATTTCTAAGGTGCTAAAATTAGCATCAACATGCACATGGATAATTTGTAAACGATAGAAAAGCCGGGGACATGGATATGCATACTTCATATATCAGAATTGTAACATTTATGAAAGGTAAGTGAGAAATGTATCGATGAATGGTAATAGGAAATCTATGGTCAGCATTCCAGTGATCAACGTGGATAAAGGATGGGCTGATTTAGCCAATATGATACAAGTACAGTCAATTGTTTGGTAGGGTTGCTTTGCCACAAGTCGAACAAAACATCCTTGCTTGGCGGAGGTACAAACATGGACAGATTCCAATTGGGAGGCACCGACATGAGTTAATATCAAGGAGATAAGCAAGGATTTCTTTTTGTTTGAGTTTCCATTAAGAAAGGAAGCTGAAAGAACTAAGTTCGGAGAAAGGTTGTTGAATTTTGGGTGGGGATATACATCTGGTTTGGCGGTCTCCCATGAACACATGTCAAGGTACGAATGGGGAACCACAATATTTGTGGATTAGACTTGTAGGCCTCGCTCTAGATCTTTGGTCGGATAACATTTTCAAAGTAGTAGGTGAAAAATGTGGTGGTCCCAGGATTGATAATGATGCAAAAAGTAGAGCACACTTGAAATGAGCTAGGATTTGTATCGACCATAGAGGAGTTATTCCTTCAAGAATGAATTTTTCTATTTAGCGTCTGATCTTCACGGTGCTGGTTTTGGTGGAAGCTGTGACGTGGGTAGAAAGAATAAGCAAAAAGCATGTATTCGGTAGCTAGAATTTGTCATATGGAGTTGTTTAGAAACAAAATGTGCAAAAGTCCTGAGGTGGAAAGTTCTAAAAATGACACGGCACTCACACACGTTTTCAAGAAAGGGGAACAACAACATACCCAGTATAATCCCACAAGTGGGGTTTGGGGAGGGTAGTATGTACGCAGACCTTACCCCTACCTGGCGAGGTAGAGAGGCTGTTTCCGATAGACCCTCGGCTTAAGAAAAGGTGAAAAGAGAAAGGAAGAAGACGAAGAAGAAAGAAAGAATAAGGGGACAAAGGACGATAAGGAAAAGGGGAAAACGACGTTTTCAAGAAAGGGGAGGAATTTGAATTTTAAATTGATGAGGCTATAAGGCAGAATAAACCAAATCGGGAGAGGTCTTTTAAACCCAAAAGAACGCAGGCCAAAATAATAAGGGACTAAAGACAAACAAAATAAAATACACACCAAAGCACCATAGACCCATGTCTATTTCAGACCGGATATTACACTTCAAAAATCGAAGCTTTAGAAGTCCCACTTTTGGTTGAAGTCGAAGCTTCGAGACAAATACACCAAAAGGCTTCAAAAGTTTCCCTCTAATCCCGACATGCAGAATGCAAATGAAAGTGTTAGGAGGGTGAAGGTGAAAATGTTGCTTTAGTAAATTTAAGAGAGCTAAATCTGTAAGAAACCTCATGTTGCTACACTCCTGGCTAGGCGCACTCTCATCGATCCACCACAAAGGTTAATGACGTATTCGACCGAGTTTGGGGTGTCAGAACATCAACCGGATCTGAAACCGAATCCTAAAGTGACTTCGGAACAGGTTCTAGAGCTTCGATCGAAAACCTTTCCTATCTAGTGTCAGCTGATCCTTCAACGTCTGCACCAACTAAATCGGAAGCTTAATTCGAAAGATGAGAGTAGGCTCGAGGAGGATCGAAAGACTGATTCTCGGTCCCCTTAAGTTAGAAAGCTGCCCTTTCTTTAATAATATAAGGTAAGCTTTGAAAAGTAAACTCGTAGGGGTCGGGACCCCCACAAAGGGATTCCGATTCGATTTAGCTTTCTTTTAGTTGCTATATCTTTATTTTGAAGAAATGGTCCTACCAATGACAAATACAGAGGTAGGCATGTCGGTCAAGGCTCCAATTCCGATGGTCTACGAAGATTTATCGTCTTAGTCTATGGTGGACTAACCTTTATACATACTAATGCTGCCTTGGATTGAAGGGGAAAATCAGGGGAGGGCCAACAAGCAATCTCCATCAAAGTGGGTTAAAAGGAATATGTTGAAATTATGTAAGTAGCTGAGTGTTCGTATTAATGAGTTTGAGGATGAGGCTCAAGATCTCATTTTCAGAATTGAGAAAAGCATGATTACAATCAAATTCGAGAAGCAAGCACTAAGTCAATACAATATAGGTCAGAGAGCTGAAATTTTGGAACTTATAGAGTTTGGCATAATTTATGCGGAAAGTAACAAAAATGACAAGAGCATAGAGGAGGAAGAACCTAGATGAAAGAAAATAAAATTGAAGATTTTGATCTAAAATGTTAGAGGGCTTAACCACAAGGATAATTTAAACTTGATGAAGATACATATCTAAAAATAGGCTACAGATATCTATTGTTTTCAAGAAACAAAGGTAAATAAATCCTCACCCACTTTAATTAGACAATTTGGGAGTAGGTGGGCAGATTGGTGGAGGTCGAAAGCGGAGGGATTCTAGTAATGCGAGACCAACGATTATGGGTCTGTAAGGAAAATTTTTGGAAGCCACTTGTTACAATTTTCTTTGAGGATATGAACTCTGAATTCAGAAAGGCTATCATGGAGTATATTGTCCATGTAATAGTAATAGGAGGAAAGGATTATGGTGGGAATTGACAACTATAAGGGGTTTAGGAAATTGGCCTAGGGTTATAGTTTGGATATTAATGTTGTGCGCTTTTTGAAAGAAAAGAAATATAGTCACTACGGCAATGAAAGCATTTTCAAAAATTATTGAAGATCTTGAAGGGATGGATTTGTCACTTCAGAGATGTTAATGTACATGGTTTAGAGGAGATAATGATTCTGCATAGTCAAGGATGGGTAGAGTTCTAATTTCCAGCGAATTGGATGATGCTTTTAAAAAGATAAAACTCAAGGTACTTCCAAGAGCTTCTTTGGATCGCTTCCCAATTCTACTGGAATGTGGTGACTGGAGTAAGTCAAAATCTCACTTCAAATTCAAAAACATGTGGCTACATGCTACTGGTTATGTAGAATTGGTCGACGAATGGTGAAAATAATATGATATTAGGGGAGACCTGATTTGCTTCTTGCTAAAAAGTTGAAGAATTGGTCGACGAATGGTGGAAATAATATGATATTAGGGGAGACTTGATTTGCTTCTTGCTAAAAAGTTGAAGATGTTGAGGCAAGATATCAAGAAATGGAAATGTTTGTGGCAGATTGGAAGGCAGGAGGAAATATCTGCTAACTGAGCCGGAAGCACTAGACCATCAGAGTCGGTCATCAATGTTGGATGCAAAAATGATGTGCGGAAGAAATGAAATACTTAAGCAGTTTGAGGAGGTTGCAAGGGTAGAAGAGATGTCGTGGAGGCAAAAGTTAAGGTGTTTACTGATAAAGCAGGGTTGACGAGAAACACAAAGTATTTTCATATATTGGCAAACGCTTAAAGAAATAATAATATTTGAGAAGCTGGAAATAACAAAGGAGATGGCTCAAACAGATCAAAAAACACGTTTTGAATTTCTATGAGAAGCTCTTCCGATATAAAGAAAAGTGGATAAGTGGAGACATGCCTGGGAAGATGGCAATATAAAGATGTTCTGTATAAGAGATAGAATGGCTTCATAGGCCATTCACTGGAGATGGGGTAATTCTACCGGAGACGAAGCTCTCAAAACTGAGTTTCAGTGGCGGAGAGAAAGAGTGGTGAGATTTCTTGCCTTTCTCGGCTATTGTTCAAAGCTTGCTAGTTTTTTTTTTGGTTATGGTAAAAAGAAACTGAGCCTGGTAACGACAACAACAACAACGACCCAGTAAAATCTCACAAAGTGGGGTCTGGGAAGGGTAGTGTGTACGCAGACCTTACCCCTACTCCGATGGGGCAGAGGATGTTTCCGATAGACCCTCGGCTCAGGAAGACGGAAATGAAACAAGAAGAGACAATATATCCGTATCTTTAATAGATACCATAGAAATAGTACAACATGATAAAAACCATAAAATAGATGGTATGCAATAACAATAACCAGTAATCAAGGCCCGGAGCTATGAAAAAAAAAAGGATAGTGTGGACACAACAATAACCGCTAGCCGTCTAAGAACAACCCTATCAAACCAGCCTCACCCCCAGTATGAAGTAGAAAAAGCTCGACTACTCCCTGGCCTACAACCCTAATGCTCGACCTCCGGACCTTACTTCCAATGGCCATGTCCTCGGAAATCTGCAGTCGTTCCATATCCTGCCTGATCACCTCTCCCCAATACTTTTTATGCCGGCTTTTACCTCTTTTCGTACCCACCAAAGCCAACCACTCACACCTCCTCATCGGAGCATCAAGGCTTCTCCTCCGCACATGCCCGAACCATCTGAGCCTTGCTTCCCGCATCTTGTCATCCACAGGGGCCACGCCCACCTTCTCCCGAATATATTCATTCCTAATCTTATCCATCCTGGTGTGCCCGCACATCCACCTCAACATCCTCATCTCTGCTACCTTCATCTTCTGGATATGAGAGTTCTTAATCGGCCAACACTCTGCCCCATACAACATGGCCGGTCTAACCGCCGCTCTATAAAATTTATCTTTGAGTATCGGTGGCACTTTCTTGTCACATAGGACTCCAGATGCTAGCCTCCATTTCATCCACCCCATCCCTTACGGCGAGTGACGTCCTCGTTGATCTCTACGAGATCTTGTGTATTCAAAAATGATATCCCTCCTATCCAAAAAGAATGACTACATTTAGAGTACGAGGGATAAACCATCTAATTTTATATCCCAATTTAGAGATTGAACTTTTTAACTTTTAAAAATAAGTTTAATTAGTCAAAAACTACTTAGAAGTACTATAAATCACGATATTCATAATAAAAAATATTTGGAAAGTGTCTTATAAAAGGCTAGTAATATTTACAATTGTTCAGCTCTCCAAAATTGTAATATTGTAGAAAATGAAACAGGTGGAGTTCTACTTTTCTACATGAACTGTGGTTCCAATCTTGAAGGGAAGTTTATAATCGTTCTACTACTGTGTTAATATATATTATTATTTCCCCTGCACTGCATATTTGTTAAGTGCCTTTTATTTCAAGAAAGTGAGTTCATGAGAAGTTAGATATAGTTCGATTACTCTTATTTGGGAATAAATAACAATAACCTTCTTGGTTTTCTATTTATGATGAAAGCTTCTATTTACTGGGATTCCAATTGCTGGAAGTTTTACTTCCCTTTTCTTTTTTTGGTTATGTTTTCATATATGCATTACATATATATACAAGGCGTGGTGCTGTGAATTGGAGTATCGAATTTTGTATTTTTCTGTTTTAAATGTTTCTATTGAATCATTTGTGTTTTAATTTTCATGTCTAATCCAGGTGTCTACTATCCAATTATTAGTTTTTTTTTCCAATTGTAAAGTTCTTTGTACCTCCCTCTTCTGATTTAGAAATTTGTAGCTCCGAGTATTAGAGTATGTTAGTTGCTGTAATGTGCTGGAGAACCACAATGTAATAATGTGAAGGATCAAGCTGAAATGGTATTGAGTCAATATAGAACGACTCAAGTTGTCAGCCAACCAGTCTGATAATATCGTGCGCATAAGCAATTGTAACGTTGTATAACCTGTTTCTAATCCGTCTGATATGATAACGTCGGTGGATTTGGTGCTCTTTATAGCTTTCCCAGTCTTTCTGCTGCTTCTTTGATATTAATCTTTTCCCTCATTTTTGTGTATCGCCTTCAGTTATGGGCTTGTCTGGGTGTCTGCTACTTTGATATTTGTCATTTCTTCCCTGGGAAATTGTGCTACTTACCTGATGCATAAAAGAAGTGATAGCAGCAGTTCTTGGTCATTTGATGTCAACTATGTGAACGTCGCGGCAGGCTCAGTTTATGGTTATGCACTGCTTGTGCCACTGGGGTTCTATTTCTTGCTTCAGTACTTGGGTTCTAGTGCTAGCCTCATACGCTTCTGGTGCTTGTGGGGATATTCCCTCTTTGTTTTGACTTTGAGCTCCGTAAGTACTTCTAACATTGCTCTATCTTTTGTCTAGATTATGACATATGCCATTAGTACCTGAATGTCTGATGTAATAGTAATGGATTTCTCTTAGTACCTCTATGGTTGAGAAGCTTATGGTTTTCTTTAAGTCTAGCTATGTGTTTAAAGCAGCATAGAGCTAAAGCATGTTCATAGTAGCTTAATACTCCATCAAACAATAATGTAGAAGTTACGAATCTTTCACATGTGAGGCACCTGTAGCCCATAAACATGACAATGCATGGACAGAATTGACACCGTATGGTTTGCATATTGCAGTTTGATGTAATCTTTTGATCATCCATTGGAGATTACTTCTACTCTTCGGAAACTTGATTGGTTTAGTTCGTCTTTCTAGTAACTTTGTTGACAAGATACTTTTGTTCTGTGTCTCAGTTTCTGTTGGTAATCCCGATCGAGTTTCTTAGGTGGACAATCACAATACTGGCTGGTGCTGCTTCAGCTAGCTTCGTTGCTGCAAATCTCAAAATGTATATACAGTCAAATGATCTCACGATTGTATTGGTTGCTGCTTTTGTCCTGCAAATGGGCCTGACAATCTTCATCAAGATGTGGTTTTTCTCTTAAGACTTGGTTTTGTAGGTAAATTGTAGCTCAAGTTGCTCTTCTCAAGGCGGCAAGTAGTTTTGAGTTTTATTTTTCTTGCACAATTTCCCCACTTTTCTGGTTCGGGATACAATTACAGTGGTTTGTATAGCTGTGAAGCAAAAGAGTATTGGGAAGTCTAACAGAAAAATTGCAGAGAAGTGTCTAAATACTGTCAACAAAGTCCATTGTTGTTCGTGTTGCTTGTTGATTGGTGCTTGAAGAACGTATGCTTCTGGTCTGTAAGTTTAGTTGACTTGTGAGCACAAGATGTAAAAACAATTTCTGTTTCATCATGATCTTTTTTGGAGTTCTATATTTGCAGATCCTTGTACATATAAATCACTTATGTTATTCATTTCCATCCTAATGGCAGTGGTTGAGCAGAAAGCAAAGGATAATTGTACACTATATTCCTGTTTCCGACATCGTTGAAATTTCATATTTGTGAGGCGGATGAATCTAGATTTCTACTTAGACTTCGGCCTTTGATTTTGCTAAGATGTAAATGTCATTGAACTCGCCGCTTTGTTTTGTTTGCTCATTTTCTTATCCTTTTGATCACCTTGTTAACACAAACACACACACACACTCATACACACACACAGACCCCTCGAGATTGATTTCTTTAAAAAGTGAGAGTTCCTCAATTTCGAGGAGAAGTGCTTTAATTCATTTCATTAGAGAAACCTGACTTCTGAATATTTTAGAACAAGTAGTTTGTGTTTTAGCTTTTTGTAAGATACTCTTCAACCAGAAGGGGACACCTTTTATAAGAAACTTCTCTCACATTCGCTTGCGCACAAAATAAATATAACACTTTTAATAGCCAAGATTATAAGTTTCTAAATGTCATAAGTAATTGTTTGCATCAGTTTTCTTCTCGTTTCTTCTATTTTCTTCGTACCAAACACTTTGTGTGCGTTTAAGAAAATTATGGAAAATATTTGTGGTAAAAATTTTTGGTAATCATTTTGGATTTTTTTTCTTTGTATTTTCATAGTATTGGCATGAGATGAGTTTAAATGGATTAACGTGATCAGGTTTAGATAGTCGGTCCTAACTTATTTGGGATTGGAGTGCAGTTGTATTTTGAAAATTCTTAGTGTTTCCGTAGGTATAAAGATAGGTGATGTATAATATCTTACTAGGTAGATGGAAATAGTGTTCCGGTGATATTCTTTTAGTTTAAAGATTGACAATAATGCTCAATTGTACCAAGTGATATGTAGAGATTTAAGATATTTGTAAACGAATGTGACTTACGTTCATAACGTAGAAGCTTATTCTCCTCTTTTTCTTAGAAATACTTTTAGGAACTTCAGAATATCCAAAAGAGATGAACCTACTTTTTCACTGCTTTATAAAAGTTGCCTAGTCCTGGAGTCGAAATGAATACTACCTTTGCTCTTTTCAAGGTTGGTCTTAGTTTTTGGTTTTTGTTTTTGTTGGCCTTTGGCTTGGATTTGGAAATAAGGTGATCACTGTATAAAGTACTCTCTTTTGTCCCCTTGTTTTGGAGTGTTTATAGAAAGTTATTCTTCAATTGAGATTTGCCATCTTTCTTTCAGTAGAGTAGTATTTTAATTGAACTTCTTAGTACACAATAAAGATAGGGACATTGGCATAACTGTAGCTCTAAATAAATTGGCACTCATTCATCCTCCAGAGGAGAGTAGATGCGAAGGTTCGAATCAAAGATCTTTGTGAGATAGCCCGGGCATCATAGCATGTCAGGAATAAAGGGACATAAATATAATCATTCCTTTGGTTGAGGCCTATAACATCCTTATCCTTTCAATTTTTTGATTCATGTGTCTATATATTATCACCGTTGAAATATTTTTAAAATGATTTTATCAATTTGACTAGTTGTTCTATCGACCCAAAGTGAATTCTAGGGGAAGGGCAAAGCAAACCCTGCAGTAGGCAGACGTTCATTGTTGGAACATGTTCAAACTTGACTGAAGTAAATAAATTAGTTTTGCAACCTGTGGCCAAGAAAAAATTCGGCCAGTGACAACGGTTGCAAAATTAAGCCTCCCCGTTAGAATTTTTCATTATTCGGCTCATAACGAATATAAATTCTATACTTTTAAATTTTAATTTATAGTAGCATTTTGAAAAATTTACACCCTATACCTAACTTATATACTATATTTATCTTAAATAAATACACTTTAGCAAATACCCTCTCTAAGGAGATTTCTAACCCTATCTTGAATACGTCCCTCGTCTCTCTTCCTAGAGATTTCACTCCTCTCCAACTTCGTTGACTTTGAGCCCGTCAATGACCTGGCCACCGCAGCTGACAATTCCTCCATTTTTACTTCCTCTAAACAACCGATTCATGTCCCCGATCCATTTGAATCTCCAGTTTCTCTTCTGAAGTTAATGGGACATTAGATGGACCACAATGGAGAACACGAAATGAGGGTCAAAATCCCCTAGGAACATCCAAAACCAAATCCAAAGTCCGAACATACAAAAAAGTTCAAAATTATCATACGACCCTTTAGGAACCATCAAATCACCAATCTGAGGTCGTTTACACAAAAGTTAAACCTTGGCCAACTCTTCCAACTTAAGGCTTTCAAATTAAATCTAAGTATTCCAAATCATTCCCAAACCCATGAAAATCAAATCACCCATCCCCGTAAGTTATAGAACATCAAATAGATATACGAGAAATATCAATTAGGGGTACGCGGTTCTAATACTCAAAATGACTAGTCGGGTCGTTACATTCTTCACCTCTTAAATAAATTTTCGTTTTCGAACGAGCTTAAAAATGTACCTGAACTTCCGAAAAGAAACGGATATATGCTTTGCATATCTGACTCGATCTCCCAAGTAGCCTCCTCGCTCGGTTGGCCTCTCGAAAGCACCTTCACTGATGCAATCTCCTTAGACATGAACTTCTGAACCTGTCTATCCAAAATTGCCATCAGCTCTTCTTCATCAGGCAAATTCTTATCCAATTGCACCGTGGTACCGTCCAAAACATGTGACTTATCTTCCCAATACTTTCGGAGCATAGAAACATGAATTATCGGATGCACTCCCGAAAGACGAGGAGGCAAAGCAAGTCTATGAGCAACCTCGCCAACTCTCTCCAACACCTCAAATAGACTAATAAACCTCGAGCTCAACTTGCCTTTCTTCCCAAACCTCATTACGCCCTTCATAGGAGAAACTTTAAGAAGAACCCTCTTACCTTCCACAAATGCCACACGTGAACCTTCTTGTCTGCATAATTCTTCTGCCTGGACTGAGGTGTGCGAAGCCTCTCATGAATTAATTTCACATTCTCCAAAGTATCACGGACCAAGTATGTACCCTCACCAAGCTCAACCAGCCAGAAAACGACATTGCCTGCCATATAAGGCCTGATCTGGATCCATCTAAATATTGGACTGGCAGCTGCTATAGTAAGAAAACTCCGCCAATGGTTGGAATTGATCCCAATGGCCTCCAAAATCAATAATGCATTCCCTCAACATATCCTTAATAATTTGAATGGTTCGCTCAAACATCTATCTGTCTGCGGGTAAAATGCAGTACTAAGCTCCACTCGTGTGCCCAATTCATACTGAACGGGCCTCCACAAGTGTGATGTGAACTGCGTGTGGCGGTCTGAAATGATAGAGATGGGCACACCATGCAAGCGAACAATATCTCTGATGTAGATCTGAGCCAACTTCTATGAAGTGTTAGAAGTCATAACCGGAATGAAATGCGCTAACACCTTCCGCTGAGCTGATAGCCTACTAGGAGGACTGTCAACCTGTCTGTCGGGACATGCGGGCATGAAACCCAGCGTCCCCAAGCAAAAGGGATGTCGGTATGAATAAAGTACCCCATGTAAGGTAGGAAATCATAAATAAGAACAGTAATGCAAAGAGGGATAGAGAAGATACAATCTATAACATCTGAGTGCCTCTGAGGGTGACTGACATGAAATGCATGATACATATATATGTGCATATACTTTTAAAAACATACACCTCTGTGGGAATCATCATCATCATATTGTACCCGGCCTCGAAGAGGACTCGGTAAAAACATACCCGGCTATCATAAGGCTCGGTAGAATCGTACCTGGCCACGTGGAGCTCGTTAAAACCCAATTGATCAGTGGTTGCACAAGAGGTGTCGTACCCGACCGACTATAGTGCTGCTTAGTAGAGTAAAATAGATACATATATAATGCATGCTGGACTTATGGAATCACGTTCTAAACCTTTCGGAGTGACATAAGGTCGTTGCACTTTCGATTAATGTTATGGACATCATACCATAAATATGAACCTCAATAGAATTCAAGCATTATAAATACATGCTTAGAATAACTTTATAAGGAAAGAACAACATGGACAACCTTAGTTAATAGGAGTAGATCCGTTATGAAATAGCATACCGTTTACGTTCATTTCACTTTAGATCATGTCAAAAGAAAGAAAGAAGTGCCTTAACATACCTTTTCAAGGTTCTCTCCAATCGTTAACCAAGCTCAATATGATCTTCTTACGTCTACAATGAGTAAACCGACTTTGTCATCATCATATAAGCGTTGTAACTCTCATATTTCAAAACCAATATTCTACAAGAAAATGGATAACACCTCCCCTATATTTCCTACATCCCATAAGTTACTAAAAGTCAACAAACAGCCCAAACAACAACCAATAGCTATATGGAACACAACCAGCACAATAACACGTCGAGTGGCAAGCTCGGTTCATGTCTAATAACACTATATTTTGAACCCTTTCCCTCTTATTTATATTCAGGAAAATGTTGATAATAACAAAACAATATACTCAGGTTATTCCATAAATTTTTCATCTATAAAACACTGCAAGAACACCTCCCAAAACAGTCCAATAATCAACAACATTACTAACAAGCATTTCGATCGATATCTCACAAGTTCTAGCTTTAACGACACGTAACTTGGATAAAATCAAATACATGTAGAGTAAGATGTTCCTTACCTTCAAACATATGGAACAACTCGAGTTTGATATTACTTTACCACAAAGTATCCTTCCAATGCAACCACAAGAACAAGGAAGAGAAACTAGCAAGCACTTAGGGTTTCTCGGTACTAGAATCACTTTGAAATACTTGAAATCACTTAGGGTTGATATGAAACACTTTGGAGAGTATTTTAAAGAATATATACCACCTAAAACAACCCCCCACACGATCTGGAACCACACCAAAATCAGCAATCACAAGAAGAACAAGAAACTCACTAGCACGACGGGATTTTCTAGCATTTGATTCATGTTTTTATCTTTGATTTTCACTCTAGAATCATGGAGACTGCTTTGAGAGTGTTTTTGGAGAGTATAAGGTCTGGTTGGTTCGAAGCAATGAACCGAAATGAGCTTTGCCCCGATCTT